GGGAGGTGGCAGAAGAGCAGCCTCTGGCCCGAGGCTGTCCTAGTCTTGCAGAGAGCAGAGGACAGGAGCAGGCAGCCATAGCTGGGCCATGCTATCACGGGTAAGCTGGTGCAGAAGCAAAGGTCGGGCAGAACAAAGACAGACAGAGGTGGTCCCCATGCAGGCATGCGGTATCCAAGGTTTGCATCCAGCGATGCTGAAGGGAAGCCCATCGTCACGGCATCAGGTGGGAATGTGCTGGGACTTCTCCAGAGCTCTCTTTCACTATCCAGATGCAGTGCTGTGCTTAGCAGGGCCCGCAGCTGCCGCTGAGGTACCTGTGGCCTCGACGGAAGCCACCATATCCACAGCTACCAAAGCCTCCATAGCCCCCAAAGCCTCCAAGGCCAGAAGAGCCTCCATAGCCTCCCAGGCCTCCATAGCCCCCAAAGCCGGCACTACGTCCAAAGCTGCCACCCAAGCCCGATCCAACGGCAGGGACTCCTGCTGAGCCAACCACGGAGCTCTGTGGGAAGGAGCTGAGGATGGGCCCTGGGAAGGTGACCACGGTGGCCGGGGGTTGGATCACCACGGTGGAGTCGGGGCACTGGCGCACGCAGGGCTCATTGCAGCTGTTAGCCAGTGGGGCCGGGGCGGCCACACCGCAGGCAGGGGCACACAGGCTGGAGCAGGACATCTTCCACACAGTCAAGGAGTCCTGCAAAGGGAACTCAAAGTAAGGAAAGGGAAGGGGAGACTCATATGGATGGAGAGGCAGGGAGAGAGCCCTGAGAAACCTCAGAGAGCTGCACTTACCCAGGAGCTGAAGGGAGTCAAGTGGAGGAAGCTGGATAGAGGACTGTAAAGTGCTCAGCTCTTTTATACCTATCCCAGACAGCCCGGGGCACTGACCTGAGAGTGGCATTGGCAGAAGCTCCAGATAATCTTTAAGTAAAGCCAAGAGATTTCATGACACTCGAGGAGTGAGGCAGAGCAATTAAGTCCTTCATCAATGGAGATATTGGGATGTAAGCATGCCCTGGAGAACAAGAAGCTGATGAGAGGGATTCGTGATTACAAGCAATTACATGAAAGACAGACCACGT